TAAGAGTCAGAAAAATCACTCAGTTGTAAAAGATAAGGTGTGTAACATTTGCAGCTTTCTGTGTATAAAATTGTGGAATATATTCATTCCTGCTGCTCAACAGTTTCCCAGCCAGTGGTTTGTTTTGGGTGTTTTCACTTTCAGAAGCCATGTTTAAGTAGATAATTGTACTTGCTGTTAGAGCATTTTGATCACAGTACTAGTTTGCCTTTTAACCCTATTTTGAAACCAAAGCTAAAATTTAAACTTATATCTCAATGACAACGATGATCTCTCTGAAACACTACTTTAGGTTAATCCAAGATAATTTAAAAGCAGCTTGCCTAGTTTGTAGCAAAATCACATCATTAAAGAGTGAAGAGTGGGAAAGTGTAGATGTTTGCCATTAGTTCCTCCTTATAACCTTATAACTTATGTACTAATGAAAGGAAATATTGGTATTGGCCTAATGATAAATAAGATTAGGATGTTGTTTTGAAGTCCATTCCAACTTTGCATTTGTTAATGAAAGCAGTTTAATTCAAAAGCATCACCCTTAATTGTCTCAGTTAATCTATGAACACTCTCTTGAACAATGAACTTGTCCATAGAACATAATAATCTGTAGGTTTTGCTCCATGTTTATCTTTTCTTTGCTCTGTGAACATTGTGCATATTCCCCTTCTGGGACCTTTCCTGTCCTGCCAGGACAGTAGTTTGCTTGTGATTCATATGTGAACTTCAGAAAACATGGACAATTGCTGATGATGTCAGGGATATGATGTTACTCCTATCCTTTTAGACTTTTTACATTTTTATAATCGCTTTATCTGGCATAATATTAAAGAGCATTACAAATAACATTTATTTGGAGTGATTACTCTTGCACAAGACTGTCTGGCAGATTGCAGGCATTTACAGATGTTCTGATTTACAAGTACTGTTGCTCATCTTATTAAAGTAAATGTATTCAATGAAGGACCAGAACAGCTTAAAAATAAACAATGACTGCGTAATAGGTAGATGCAAACAAATATTATCTTTACTTACAAAATCTGTCTATGGAAAAATAGGAAATAGGAAAATTGACTGAATAACTGACATATCAGTTCTGCTACAGATACAGAAATTATAGCTCTCAAAATATTTGATTTTTTGTTGTTGTTATTAAAATACAACAGATTTAATCTAAAATCTCCTTCTGCTGAGAACATCTATGAATAGAAGAGGGCCATCTAACCTGTGACCATTCAGGCACTAGCAATGGTTAGTTTTCATGTCAGTCTCTCTCAAAGGGGATCTACAGCTCACTTGGAACATGGGGACACAGAATATAACAGTCCAGGTGAAATTGTATAGTAAGTAATAAAAAATAAGAATGCATGGCATGCAGGCAGTGCTTTGTTCAGGTGTGTGTAGGGAGCTTTTTCCATCTGTGTGTGGGAACATGCAAACTCTCATTTTATTAATTAATTAGTTAGATTAAGCTAATTAATATTACTTATTTCTGCCAATAGTCTTATAAATGCTACAAGTACATCTTCCTTTTGTGCTGAACAGGTCCTAAAATCCAAGCACACATGCCTTTGTCTGTAATAGATTGGAGTTTATCTGGACAGACTTTGTAAAACTGGAAAAAACAGCTCAATAACCACCCTTCTCGTAAGGGAAATAATTGTGAAAGTGCTGTTTACCAACATGATGTTATACTGGAAAGTGTTTAATAGCTTCCAAAACTAATTTTTTAGATAACTCGTACAGAAAATGGTGTTGGACTCCTTTCCTGTGGTTACGCATTTCACTATCTTGTATTTATCTCTAATGACACCCCAGCAGAGGAGTACTCTGAAAAAAAGAGTTGAAAGAGCAAAATGAAGTTGTTCTGTGCAAGGAGAAAACTCCTGCCAAGTGAAAAAAGGCCAATTTGAGAGGAAGAACAAACAGATCTGGAAGTGTAGCAAGGCTGATTCCTGGCAGTAAAGACAGACTGAACTTGAAAGGAAAGAAGTAGCTGCTTGTGTTTGTAGACTAAGATCAAAGTCTTTGTGCCACTACTCAGAGTTATTGTGAGTGAGGGGGAAAGGATTTGCTGTAGTCAGAGGAGAGGTTATTGCTGTAATTGAGAGGTGGCTGAGAAGTTGATGCTCAGGTACATAAAGCTCAGACTTTGACTTCAGTGTAATTGGGACCAAATACCTAATTAGAAGATGTTGTCTGGATGTGTATCTGAATATCAGAAGCATTTGTTGAAAGACACAAATGACGACAGAAAAGTGGGAGAGTTTGGGGTTTGCCAAGTGGAACAAGCATCCAGTGTGTTTTTCTCAGTTCAGCTTCGGGTGATCAAAGGACTTTGTCAGAATACTGAAAAAACCTGTGGAAATGGGCAACTGACTCACGCAGCTCTAAGTCATGAAAATGTCTCAGACTTTAGCATGGCTGGTTTAAATTCCAGTTTCAGGCTGGAGATTTGGTGATAGTTATTTTCTATTAATTCCTTTCTAGCACCCAAGGTGGGAGCAAAATCAGTGCTGTGTGATTTATTTAGATAACCAACAGAGCTTTGTAAACAAACAGGATAATCTGGTGGTCCTGAACTTCACTGCTGGACCTGACTGCCCAAAAACCAGCTTTTCTTCTCCAAAAGGCTGATTCTCAGCTAGGTTCAGGCTCTTTTCATTAGCTGCTCTGCTGGTGTGTTTTTACATACTGTAGGAATTAATTTTACAATGGGCCCTTCTGTCCTGTTTATCATTTTCAAATCTATATCAAGACCATTTGGGTTATAGCAGCTCTAAGTAAAACCTAGCTTTTGCTATTACTTGCAGTATCTGCTGAGACCTTTTCTATGATTAAGGGAGATTTTGATTAGCTGAGGTGCCAAATTTGAAGGCAGTTGGAGTTTTTTAGCAAGGCTGTGACTGGCTTTCATTAGAAGTGGCTTTTTGGTAATTGCTGATGGCTCTTTGCTTGTCTGTAGTAAAGCTACTACAGGTGGTAAAAACACCATGATATTACCTTGCTGTGCATTTGGGCTGGTGAACACAAACCACTTATGTCTTAGAGCTCATCTATTAAAGGACAACATTGTTTATACATCCAAAAATTTTTCAAAACATGAGCTGTGAAATGTTAGCAGTAATATTTTGGCACAGGTTTTGCAGGGTTACACCCAACTTGAGGTTCTCTATCAGTCTCTGCATCACTGAGAGCATTGCAGAGTGACCAGTAAGAAAACCACCAATATTTCCTTTCCAGCAAGGCCACAGCAGCTGAGAAAAGCAGGCTGGCCTGAAGGATTGGTAAATAGTGAATACTGGTGAGCTAATTCTGCTCGCAGACAGATGAGGAAGGATGAGACACACGAGGAAGGATGAGACAGATGAGGAAGGATGAATAAATTTGATGCAATCAGAGTTATTTACAAGGTTTATATTTAAAGTCCAGTTCTTTTAAGTAGAAGAGAATTTGAAGAAGTGATGGTTTTGTTGCAGATTTTTTCAGCCCATCTCTTTCCTATAAGCTCTCAAGCATGGGAGCTGCTAGGACATCTCAGCAGAAAACATCTGCTGAGGTGCAAGGAGGCTTTGTTCTCCCCTCCTTATCACAGTGACTCCTGTAGTCCCTTCAGTGTGTGTTTCATGTTGTTTTCTCATGTTATTTTTGTGTCTTCCATTTCAGTCAGTCATGCAGTGGCACCAGAGACCTCTGCATTTTCCTCTCTGGACATAGGGAAGTCCTGTTCCTTTGCTTGTTTTTTGTGGAGAGGCATTTGTTCCTGTGGCATTTGGGAACTCATTTGCAAACCTCATCTTTTACATCTACAGCAGCAGATTCCAGAGGCCATGCAGCTAAAATTCTGTGAAGGAACCTTGATGCTGTTTGGAACTGGGCTTTTTTATGTGCCACTGTGTTTATCAGGGACAGTGGTAATGGGGAATACTCACGGGATTTTTTACTGCAGGTGTGCTGGTGGGCTTTGCCTCTGAAGCTGGAGACCCCAAATTAGACATATTCCTTTTTTGAAGCTTTTACATACAACTTTGTGTTTGCCAGGGGTTCTGCTACAGTTTTGCACAGGAAGAGTTTGTCTTGCTTGAATTATGGTCTGTGCAGTGCAGATCTCTTGATACCTCTCAGGTGTTCTCTATGAGTGGAGTCCTTGGGACACTTCTTGTGATCGAGCAGGAGGGCAGGACTTGATTTGTGTGATTGTTGTGCAGTAAGCTGTTCAAAGCTGTGCAGGGGAGCTTGTCTCAGTCCTTAGTCCTTAATGAGAAGTTATTAATAAGGAAGCCAGCTGCATCTCACTGAATTGCAAGACTACTGGAGCTATCCAGAACCATAGGAGCTGTGCAGTGCTTACATACAGTGGAAAATAACAGATCCTCTTCTCCTTGTACAGCATTACTTCAGAGCACTTGTTAACCTTTGCTGTGTATTCTGAACAGTCTCATGGCTTGGTGATTTTTGTGATGCCCTCATTATTTAGCTATTCATAAACTATAATTTGAATTATGTTAGCACTGAAAAGCACCTTTTTTATCCATAGGCCTTTATCTGTAAGCAAGTCTCCTTTGCTTCCCTTTCTAACACTAAATTTAGCAAAGCAGAATAATCTGGCACGAGTTGTGCACTGAAGATTTGAACAATGAGCCCAATGATCAGAGGTGATTTGAGTTGTGTCCAGACATGCAAATGTATTTATAAAAATCTGCAGCTAGATAGGGATCCCATTTAACCTTATTCAGGGGGTGTGGCTGGATGCACTGCTTGGATGTTGAGATGATTAGAGCAATGCTGCTGAAGGTGTGATGTCTGAGGACCCAGCTGGCACTGGTGTTTCCTTGCTGTCCCAGCTCACACCCAGTGGCCTGTGCCTCTTAGTTTGCCCAGGCTTACAAGGGGCAAATGAAGTAATTCACTAAGAGTTCTTGTAGTCCCTGTGAAGTAGCAGCTCTGCCTGAATGGGGAACTTCTGCATGTGCCAGAGCTGAAAATGTCTCTTGATTTCCCCTCAGGAGCTGCACTTAAGCCATTCAGACTCTCCAGCATTAATGGAAGTTGGCGAGGAAGGTGCTTTAGCTTTCCAGACTTCATTGTGGTGCTGAGTGACAGCAATGAGATTCATCTGGTTTTGGGCTGAATCAAAGCTCTCCACTGGATCAGAGGCTGAAGTCCACAAGGTAAGAGGAGCCTTATCTGCCTGCATGATTCTCCACAGAAACAAAGCACAGCACTGTCCAGCAGCCCTCACCCATCCATGCATTTGTGCATCCCATATCCTGACAGGTCACTGGAAATGTGCCAGGTGCCTCCTCTGCACCCCGGCCAGGGGATCCTACAGCAGTGCTGTGTGTGCTGCTCCCTCTCGTGTGTGACAGCAGGCCAGGCACTGGGATTCCAGCCTCGTAAAATAATCCATGGATTTCAGCTGTTGCACTGGGCCAAGTTTTCATTGGCAGCAACCTTGGATTTGAGCTGCCAGAACTGGAAACGCCTGTGAAGGCAAAGGGCTCCAGCACTCCCCCTGGACCCCGGGAGCAGTGTCCTGCCTGTAAGTGCCCCGCCGCTGCGGGCGGTGACGGCTGCGTGACTCAGCATCCGCCTTGGTTTCGCACCCACTGTCTGGATCTGACTTGGAAGTGGACATTTCCCACTCAGGCACAGCTGCTCTGGTCTTTGCTGAGCATCTATCTCACCTGATGACATGTTTTGCCTTTAGCCAACAGTGCTGTGTTTCCAGCACAGGCTCATTACTGTACCCATGCAGTAGCTTTTCACTTCAGCCAGTCTGTGAAGGAAAACAAAGCCCCAGTGCATTTCCTCTCTCCAGAGGCTGGCAAGCTGGATCCCTACAGAAGGTATGATGGGCATTCCTTACCTGCCTCTGGTTCCTGAACACCTGCCTTTTATGGTGGGTGATGCTGTGGTGGGGTTGGCATTAGAGCATCAGTCACCTTTAACAGATGTTGGTTGTGAATTTTCCATCCTTTCCAGCCCGTCAGCCCTGGTTTCACCCCTGAACTCCTTTTCCTGCCTTACTCCTCTCCTAGACCTTAGATTTGGAAGGAATAACATGGGTTTTTCCAAAGGGGTTATTTAACATGCAGTTTCCTTAAGGCTTTACCAAGAAAAGATTGTTTTTGGAAGGACAAGTGAGTCTGGTTGTGTTCTGGCAAAGGCTGGGGTTTAGCAGATGTTTTCCTGGAATACAGGCATGGGCTGAGTGCTCTGGGCACTGCTGCAGCAAGCAGATGGCTGGATCCAAGGTATGCCCACCAGGAGGTAAGTGACTGTTACTTCTTTGAGGGTCAGATTGGTCAGAAAGGTTGTAAACTCTGTTGGGTTTTTCTCCCTTCTCACAAAACGTGCCACAGTAGAAATTTTTGTGTTCTGGGAGTGGAATTAGCTGCCCTTAAGGACATCACTTTCAGTCTGATTCTCATCCTTAAAAGACATTGAGGTAATTACCTGTACCTATTCTAACTTACTCTCATTTCTCGTTCCCTCATGTCTTTTTCATGGGATTTGTCTTCTTGGAGCTGTTTTTATTTCTCAAGTCAGGTTTCTGAGAAGCAAACCCATTCAGTTTGTACAGATTTATCTGAGTTACAGACTTCAAAATGCAAAGCAATTTTAAGTCATCCTTATTTTGCAGGGCTACTTCACTTGGTGCACTGGAAAGGGAAGAAAAAACAAGGGGATAACAAGTGGGGATGTCTAACATTGGTTAATAATATACAAAAATAGAGACAAAATTCTACTGGGAGACAATTTGTTCCAGTGGCTGAAAATCTACTGGTGATAATCTCTTACTACCCCAGAGTGCCAAGAAGAGGGAAAAGAGCTGCAGCTGCTCCCTGGTTTGCTGGGCATGGTACATTCTGCATTGTCCCCTGGCCCTTCGGGTAAGAGCTTTAGAAATGGAAAAGAATTTTTTCAAAGATAAAACTCCCAGCAGTCTCAAAGTTGATGGGAACCTTTATTTTGATTATTTTCATTGTACTGACATCGTCCTTTTATGCAAACTTAACTGTAAAACACTCTTGAGATACTGCATAGAAAATACACATAGGAAAAACCACATATATACACGTCCATAAAAATAGAATACATCTTGGCAAAATTACTTGTGTACAGTGTATTGACATTATTGAACCAAACTTACATCACCTTTGGAGAAAAATGTTCCATGTGCGTAAAACCCCAGACCATTTGCTGAGCTGGGAGTATGGCAGTGGATATGAGTTTGGGTTAAATAAATGGCTATACCAGAATGGCAGAGTAAAAACAAGTTATAAAATACCTGCTCTATAAAGTAGAAGAAGCCATTTTGGTTTTTTCTTCCAAAAAATAGCAACATCTCTACACTTGCATGGAAACCAAAGGTACCAGTTCCAAATTCTCCTGTAGATTCGTTAGCTGCAAACAAACTTTAATGTAATTTGTTTCAGCATTTGCAACCCTTGGGCACAGTGGCATTTGGTGGGTTCAAGCACACAACATAGTATAGCACAGCCCTAATTCTATTGGGTAATTGATAAGGAAAAAAATCTAATAGATATAAAATTTAAAACACTTAGCAACCTTTAAAATATGTAGACCACTTGAAATTATGGGTTTATTTTCTTCAGTTACTTTCAGTGGAGGCTGCTCCTTGCTTACTGCTTTGACTACATGGATTTCTCTGCTGCTTTTCAGAACATACTGTGGAAAGTGACCATTCCAGTGTAATAAATAAAGCAAGTGGGAACAGGTCCTCAAAGCCACGGATCTTCCTCTTGAATTGGAACAACAGGACTGGAGAGGCAGCCTCCGGGAAGCAGGGGAGGAGAAAAGCACATAGCACCCTTTGAAGTGCGGTGGTTCCCGTACAGGCAGGCTGCAGCAGCCTGGCCCCGGGGAAGGAGGTGGAGGCAGGGGAGGAGAAAAGCACATAGCACCCTTTGAAGTGCGGTGGTTCCCGTAGGGGGGAAGGAGGTGGAACTCAGTAGGGGAAGGCGGACACGGCGATGTAGATGATGAAGGTGGTGCGGTACTCGACGCTGCCCTCGGCGCTGTAGGACAGGGCCCGCACGCCCATGCGGTACGTCCGGGGCTCGCGCAGCGCCCGCGTGGTGAACACCACCCCCTTCCAGTTCTCATCCCTCAGGGCAAAGGGCACGGCCGGGTCCTCGTCCGCCATCAGGAAGGTGGTCCTGGGGTGCATGACTTGGTCGTGAGTGTAGGCCACCAGCCGGATCAGATCCTGCCCCGCAGCGATGCCGAAGGGCAGTGACAGCAGCTTGTACTCCAGGGCGTAGGTGCTCAGGTCACAGTCCAGGTCATTGGCCGGGCAGCTTTTGAGACAGAACCTAGGAAGGAGCAGAACACTTCAGCCCAGGGAGAAGGCACAGTATCTTAAGTACTGGGATAGGTCTTAGAAGAGAAATTTTTCCCCTGTTTACCCTGTTGCAGATTAAAACTACTCTAGAAGTGCTCATGCACTCTTCATCCATTGTTCCTTTAGAGCTGCAGCCCGGTTTAACATCCCTTTTTGCCTCAACAGGATCATTCCAGAAAGATGTTGGCTGCACTGATATCATTGATGGCCATAGGGTAAGTTTTAGTGACTGTGCTCTTAAACATTAGAATGGCAAGACCTAGTTTAAAATGTTCTGGGCAGCATTTGAGGTATCCGTCTGTTAGGTCATAAAATAAAGAATATGTAATGAATGGCCAAATGAAATTTACTTTTCTTAATCAAAAGTTAAAATATGGAATCTCTGCTAGTGCAGTTTGCCAGTGCTGACAGAGGCTGAAGGACATGGCCTCCATGTCACTGTAGATGTCACTGCAGTTGAGTTTGATCCCAAAAGATGATTTCTGACAAGCTATTTTTCTTTGAGGATATTGAAAGATTAAAAGAATTCAGTATGGGTTTTTTCCCAGAACAGGGAAATAACAAAGCTTAACAGGAACTTAGAATTATTTTCATGACTAAAATAATGGTATCTGATGCTTTGAAGCTGATAGCAAGTCAGGCCATTCAGATTAGATGTTAGGAAGGAATTCTTCCCTGCCAGTTGAGGCAGTGGCACAGGTTTCCCAGAGAAATTGTGGCTGCCCCCATCCCTTGGAAGTATCCAAGGCCAGGCTGGACAGGGTTTGGAGCACTCTGGGCTGGTGGAAGATGTCCCTGCCCATGGCAGAGGGTAGAACTGGATGTTCTGTTAAGGTCCCTTCCAACCAAAACCATCCCAGGACTCTGACTCTGTGATCTCCAATGTCAATGCCTTACCTTTAGCTACTGTGAGCTCTACTGGTGTTAGGCAAACTTAAATTTTCTTCTTTAACAAGCACAGGTTAAGGAGCTGAGCTTGAGGCAGCTGAGAAGGGGCTGAGAATAGAACATACCCAGAATGTGGCTCTCGCTGGTAGTTGGGTGGACAAGGAGTGTCTATGCACTGGTAGCTTCCTCTCATGTTGAAACACATCTGATTTGATCCACAATTTATGTTCTCTTCAAGACACTCATCAATATCTGGATGGAAAAACATGCAAGGGATCAACTGCTGGTAGAAGAATTAAAGGGTGAAAATCAAAGTGGGTAAAGGCTGAGCAGAGCCCAGAATATGCCTCTGTTTGACCCTAGAGCTTGGAGGTCAATGTGTAATGAGAAAGTCACAGGGGAACTGCAGAGAATTAGAAGTTGCAATTGTCTAGTTTGCTGATATTTTATGAAACAATAGAAGTGTGGAATATAAAACCTTCTGGAACCTGAGATTTTGAATGCTGACTCTCACACAGCCAATTCAGAGAGGTGGCTCAGCCATGTGCTGAGCTGGCTGGTGTCAGGTTTCTTTGCAGACCTCCCCCAGAGCACTGCAGGGATGGCTCTCCGTACCTTGGCAGGTTTTGCCGTTGGGCATGAGGCGGTATCCCGCGGGACAGGCACACTGGAAGCTGCCCAGGCTGTTCCTGCACTCGTGCTGACACGTGTCTCTGCTCTCACACTCATCGATGTCTGTGGAGAGAAGCACCAACACCTCAGCACTCCCTGAGCCTGCCATGAACACAGGTACCTTCCCCCTCTTTATGTACTGCAAGTGTACAGACAGAGCTGTCTGGATCTCTCTGGATGTCTTTTTCTGATGGGGTTGAACATCTAAGACTAGAGTGTCCTCTTCCCTTACCTGTGCCATTCCTTGTAACTCTGCAGGCACTAAAGTCAGCTTTGAGGGGCTCTTCCCCTCGGTGAATAGCAGCTGTGACAGATCCCAGCTGAGGAGACCAGTCCTGAGGCAGAGCTCTGGGAGAAAGGGGGATGTGCCACCTGTGTCCACTGCCAGGGTCATACAAACACAGTCCTGCCCCCAAAGCAATCTGAGCTGCCTGATGATCAACCAAATGTTAAGCAACATGCTTAGGGAACACCCACACTCCTTATCTCACCAGAGGAAGCCTTGTTACTGTGGGAGTCTTCCTTACAGTCACTCCCTCCTCAGGCAAAGCTGTTTCCCTTTTAAACTGGCCTTGCCCATGCCAGAGGGATGAATTAGGCTCAGTAGCTGGGAAGACTGTCACTCAACGCTCTTCTTTTCTTTCTTCCTTTTCTTTTTTTTTTTAAATCTCCCTCTCAAATACAGAAGTACTAGTACCAGACCACATTATGTGAAGTTTCCAGAGCACATTAGCATGATGTAGACACAGATAATTTGAAATTATAATGGGCTTTTAAAACATCTGCCTAGTTCAGGACAGCAGCAAAGTAATCTCAAGCAAGAGTTCAGACTTGCATGGTTAAATCAGTGGAAGGAAGATCTCTGCTTCCCCTCTGTTGGACTGACAGGGGTTGCATTAGATCAAAATGCAAACAGAAAAGAGAAACAGATGTGACTGCAAACCTCTGTGCTGTTAGCAAATCCTGATGGTTGCCTACAGAAAGAATTTTCTTTAACAAAAGCATCCTTTGGGGCTATTTTTCATATTAAACAATAATTTTAAAATTCAGATATTTATTCAATGAAATGAAAGTTTCATGGAATATTATTAATATTAATGGCATATTTACTAATTCCAACTGGAAGCTAGGATGAAGATCAAAATTGGAAACAAACCCTTCTCTCAGAGTTGTATTCCTGGGTCTCTCAATTTAACTCCTATACCATAACAATCCACATGGATGTGACTACTGAAACCTCTCTGGAGCTTAAATACAAGGTTTGATGTCTTCTCCATGCTCACTGAATTACATAGCAACCCCTTTTCTTACATGAAATAATTTAAAAACTTCTCTGCCTGTCACCTGCGTGACAGTGGCAGTGCTGGCAGTGGCCCCAGTGTGATTGATTCTAAAATGTTTATTCCAAACTTTTCTGACACAGTTTACTGCTGCCAGTGGGAGTCTGACAGAAGCACTGTAACCAGGCTGGGGCTGCTGGTGGCTTTTGTTGTGTGAGAAGATTCACCAACGTGAGCTACCATGACCAGGAGAAAGAATAACAGAGGGAAATACTTTGCATACAGGTAATAAACAGCACAATTAATACAAGAGGTTATAAGGAGGTGTGAGAACATTTTTGCTACAATGTGAGCCAAGACAGCAGAGACCAGAACATGCAGAACCCTCTGAATATTGATGAGGGTAATTGAAAACACAACCCCAGCACCACAAACCCTCAGCCCCTGGTATATATCACAGAGTAACCTAAGAATAAGGCCCAAAATAGAGTTGCATAGATAGGACTGACATTTACCTACACATCTGGCATTTCTTGCCTCATAGCCTTCAGGACAAGTTTCTCTAAGGTTCCTTCTAGTCCTGGAGAAAGGTATTCTGCTGTTCCTATACTCTGAGAAGGAGCTGTAGAGATTTGAGGAGTGCCTGTAATAGTGCTGCAGTTGCTGGTTGTCTCTCCCAGGGGAGAACTGAGCATGGTTATAGCTACTGTAATAGGCACCCGAATTTGGCACCCTCTCCAATCCGGCGCAAGATTTCCCATCACCCAGTAACTGCTGCCCAGGTAGACAGAAACACTTGAAGCTGCCGGGGGTGTTGGTGCAGTGAAGTGCACAGGGTTTAGGCACTTGTTCACATTCATTAATGTCTGCTCATGTGACATGATCCAGAGCCCCAAACCATGTGGAAAGGAGAGAAAACAAACAAACAACAACACATAACTATACGTATATATACACACAGATACTTATCTCAGTGTCAGGAACAAGCTGAAGACATGAAAGCGAGGTTTGGAGGCAGTAAAACATGGAGAACACTAGGCCAAGGAGGCAGGATCCACTGTCCTGGACTGTAACAGACCTTCATTCTCCCACAGGCTGATGTGACTGTGCTCACCAGGACAGGAGCCCTGCTGAAGCCTTGTGTCAGCCTCAGCTGCTCAGTACTCTCTTAGTAATTGGGGTTTTTTTCCCTTAAGTGCTCCACAGATGAGTGAAAGAAGCTGCTGGTCCCTTCTTTAAAAGACAACCCTTAACACAGAGCATTCCAGAGAAGTACAGTGCTCGAAATTCCTTACACCCCACACTAAGGGAAGCACAACAGGCTCTGATGTGGTTATTGTGCCTCATGTTGGGGGAATCACAGAATCATGGAATGCTTTGGGTTAGAGGGAGCTTACAGCTCAGCCGTCCCACCCCCTGCCATGGGCAGGGACACCTTCCACCAGCCCAGCTTGCCTCAAGCCCTGCTCTACCTGCCCTTGGACACCGCCAGGGATGGGGCATCGGGCTCAAGAACATGTTTCAAGGCTGCAGGGGCAAGAGGTCAGGTACCTTCTAACTTTTGATGCTGCTACTGGTCATTCCAGCTGTGACAGGCTGGAGACTTAAGAGTACATATTAATTCACTTCTGGACAATTAAAAAATAGATTTATTTTTGCTTTCCTAAGCAATGTCTATTTCTTTTTAGTTGTTTAAATTGCAGGCCAAAGTTATTTGGACCAGCAGTAAATATCCATCCCTAAATCAAAACTGAGTGCTGAGCTCACATAGTAAAGGCCTTGAGGGTGCAACATGCTGAGTGTCCTTCCCTCCAAGTAACTCTAAGTGCCCTTGGGACTGCAGGATCTTTTCCCACGGTCTCTCTGACACTACCAGAAAGAAATTCTCTATTGTTTTTATCAAGTTACTTCAGACTCAGCTGGAAATTTGACACATACTGTATTTCTTTTCAAACTTAGTATTTCTTCACCAGAAAAAGACAGAAGTTTGTTAATTTCAAACAACCTGCAATGATCACAAACTAAAAACCTGCTATTAACATACATCACAACATATCAATAATTGGCAAGTATTATAAACATTATCCTACTAGAAATTAAAGATTATTTTAATGGCAACTCAATAATAATTTAATTATTCCACAGTAGTGTGTATTCTTTCAATTACTACTGTAAAAATGCCATTAAGCCAGTGTTGTCACAGTTTCATTTGGATCCCCTATGAACAGAAACTTCTGAGCACAGCTTGTAACTCCTCCCCAAGCCACAAATTAATGAGAATAGTATTTAAAGATCAATACTGTCCGAAATACAGTAGAACATTAGGCTGCATTTTTATGAAGTGGTTAATATTTGATACATTTAAGGCTTTAAACAATTTAGGGGGATATTAATAATTAATTGCTTTAAGAGTTGGAAATCCAGAAGTAGTAATTACAGAGTGTTACATTATTTTGCAGCTGTTATTTGGCAAACACACAACTGAAACTTCACATATTTATGGAATTATCTTTAGGGTAGAATTTTCAGATGTTACAAATGAGAATTTCACTTTAAGGATGGCAACAACTGATCTGAATTTTAATTGTATTAATCTCAGTATGTACTTAAGATGAAAAATTTATTATTCATATACATGTAAAAGAAAATTAATTCAATTATCTCCTTAGCACTCAAGTGTTGACTTTTACATTCTGTACCTACCTAAAATAAATTAACACTGATGCCTTTATGACAACCAATGTCCTTGGAACAAGTTGTGGATAAGCAATAGAAGATTTTCATAGAAATTACGGAAGACAACAGGTGAAAATTTGAGCAATTTCTTTTGCAAGAGCAGCCTGTGCAATACAAGCAGAACTGACTGCAGGGAGTCACCAACACTGGTTCCAGGGCTGCCCCTGTGAGAACAGGCTGCTGAGGCATGGGAACCCTAATATTTATAAGAACAAGGTAAAATTACTTTGAAATTGAAATACCTACATTTTCAGGCTTTCTCTAATTTGAAAAACAGTACCTGATTTTATATTGTAAACAGCCTTGCATGTGTAATCTGCATTATAGCAGCTTTTAGCAAAGCCCTTCACCTATGTGGAATGGAGAGAAAACAACACAGCTCCCAGAAATGCTGTAATCCAGGTAAATGGGCAGACAGAGCTCTGTGGGGGTCACAAAGGAACATCTTATCCCCATCCAACAAATAAAAAAGGGAATTGTGGCACAAGGGGCTTTACCCAGGGTAAAAATGGCACAGGCAGGAACAAAATTCACTAATTCTGTTTCAGTCTGAGCCCTCTTTAGTTTTCAGCTCCTCCCTGTGCTCACTGTCAACAATGACAATTAAAACTGGACTTTATTAACAAAACTAATACTTTGGATTAATCTATATTTTAAATATATTTTTAGGAACGCAAAAATTCAAAGGGTAAAAATACATTAAGAGGGAGCTTTCAGCGCCCCTTGGTCAGAAGGCAGCTTTAAGGGTGCTGGTGTTTTATGAAAACCTATAGTCCTAGACTTTACCTGGCTTTTTCCTGTCAGAAGTTTAAATGGCTTAAATATAAGAGTCTGGGATTGGTTTTATTTCAGTACAGAGGCAGATGGTAGAAGTAATATAATATCTTACATAATGTAATGGTATACAGCCAAACACTTCTTAGTGCAATTTAATATCTTTTAAAAAATCCCAAACATTCCTGGCTTTTGACAGTCCAAAATCTTAGGTTGTTTAGAAAAAATAAGAAAAACCTATTTATCTTGAAGAAGTCATCAGGGAGGAATGTTTTCCTGACACATGTAACAGCAACCGAAACCAGCCTCACTTGGTGTTACATACCCACATTCAGAAATCCTCATTATCAGGGTAGGTCAGCTCTTACATTTTAAATATTTTATATGTATGTGGTAACGGTGATTCTAAATTATCCTACTGCCTTCCTGAAGTCTCTTAAATGCCAGGGGAAGTGCTTATCCACTTGCCCTGGCCCTATACATTAAAGTCTCATGCTCCCCGTCAGAGCTCTGCAGTCTTCCATGATGTGGGAGAAAACCCTGCATGGCTTTATGCCAAGATGTCACAGGGAGTGACTGCATTGCTGGCATTCCTGTGAGTGCCAGAGATCCTATTCCTTCCCTGCTGGGAGCCACCCATGCCAGGAGGGGAGTACTGAGAGAAATGCAGATCAGGTCCCTGCACTCTGCCTGCTGGGGAACACCCCTGGCAGTCCTGATCAGGGCATGGGTGTACTTGTGATGTTCAGGAGCCAAACTCAGTTCTGGGTCTGTGGCCTCCTCCAGCTGCTTGGGGTGTGCTCCCTGGGGGAACACACATGACTCCCTGTGTGACTGCCCTCAGGGCTGAGCCAGGGCAGCATCAACAAACCCCACCTGATTCTTATAACTGAAGCCTCCTGTGGGGCAGTCATTTGCCACATCCATCCACCAGTGCCGAGTCCCTGTTACACTTTGTTTTCAAAGCACAGCCCCAAACCAATCTCTGTTTGGAACCATTTAGCTCCGTTTGTTTAGGACGGAACACTTTGTTTTAGGCGGCCAATTAGGAAACGCAGACACGCTTGTCTCTACAGCGTGGTCTCGCACAGGGACAGCACTGCTGGTGTGGTGCAGCAGAAAGCCAGGCGAAAGCAGAGCACAGGTGTGGGAGATGGAGAGGCAGCTTACCCACGCAGGGCCTGGCCGTGCCCTGGGCGCGGAATCCTCGCGGGCACACGCAGCGGTAGCTGCCGCGCGTGTTCTCGCACAGCTGGTTGTAGCGGCACTGGTGCGACCCCGACCGGCACTCGTCAACATCTGCAGCACACGGCAAGGCAACAGTCACAGCTCTGCCACAGCCTTGCTGCGGGGGGAAGCTGGGGCTGCTCCATCCCTGCCAGTGTCCCAGGACAGGCTGGATGGGGCTTGGAGCAGCCCGGGATAGTGGATGGTGTTCTTGCCCATGACAAGGGGTAGAATGGGTGATTTTTAAGGTCCCTTCCAGCCCAAATTATCCCATGATTCCACTGGAACAAAAGCTTTGGTACCACCTACAACATCAGCTGTGCTTAAAGCCCTCTCTGATAAGCAGCAGGGACCTGTGATCTTGATGGAGAGCTCCCGAGCCAAACTCTTAAGAAATCATGCACACACAGAGCAAAACATTTCAGTCAATGAATAACTGAGAGAAATCAAGGTTCTGACACACAGAAGACATCAAGGGAAATCTTACTGTTCTTGCTTAAGAACAGTGGAAAACTAGAGGTGGCAAGGATGCATCTGCTTTTTAATACCAACTACAAAGAAAGTTAAATACAGATGCTCCATAAGCAAAAACATACTAAGCCTTGGTATGTGCAAATATTAATAACTGGAGATGGACAATCTTCAGGATTATTTTAAAAAAATAAATATCATCATTGTCCCTGTGTTTCTCAGAGCCACACAGTACATGAATGCTTCTACTCACCAATGCAAGTCCCATTCTCTGCTTTGGTCATTCCACTGGGA